AAGAGGGTATAAATGAAGATATATTCTTTAGTAGTTATGAATGAATAGGCATTGCCTGGGAGGTCTATACATTTCTGTGAGACTCCTGGGGGAGTCAGGGATCCTTATCAAGTTCTGACAACTAGACAGCTCTAGAAGGTACATAAATACACTTAGATCTTTGGCTCTGTTATCACTTTATCAATTAGTGAAATATACTGTAAACACACAAAAAATTGGGTGTACATCAATTTTCTTAATGAACAGCTGCACTTAATGGCCGTGCCATACAAAGTTATGTAAACAGTCGGTATCTTGCTGCGTAGACCTAGATTTTAAGAGATGTTACACAACTATTAAGACCAGGAATCATCTGCTCTTCATCCTCCAGGAACTCCTGGCCAGCAGAAGGGGTATAAGGTTGCCCTTTCTCTGTCCTGTGGTACTTTACTGTTCATATTTTCTGTTTAATCATGTCTTTAATAAAGTTTTGTACTGTACTTTTCTCCCCTTGGTGCATTCATTGCGAATGAATCCAAAGAAATGTCTTCCAAGGGTTGATAGGTGTAGCTAAATGAAGCATCCCCAGGGGGCACAAAATTGACCATGGAGCCAGGGTAGCCTGCCCATCCCAGTCTTACAAAGATACTTTTTTTCTTTCTTATATGGGACTTATCTAAAGGTCTACAGAACACAGCAGGGAATCTCTTTAATGACTTCTAAAGTGTGTTGATTCTGCATTTGTTTTGATGCAAGTTTATTTAACAGTGTTTGTGTATGCCTTTAAATGCCTTTTAGTAATAGCATCTGTATTTACATTGTAAGCTGCCTTGTTTCCTAAAGAGAGAAAGGATATAAATTAAATAAAATGTGTCATCATTTAGGAGAAAGGAGCGGCTTTGGAGGAAGTGCCTTAATCCCTTGCTACTGTTCAAAATTAAGCCACTTAGACTCTCAGAATTTATTAATAGAAAGGGAAACAGCATAAGGAAGAACAATATCCCTTTCCTTGTAATTAATATCCACAGTGCAAGCTAATACCAACTCCACACAGTGACACTTAGGGAAATAAGAGTTCATGGCAGCAAAATGGTGAGAATAATCCCTGACATATGGTGTAGGGGAAAGCTGGAGACCTCTCCAACCACTATGAAAAGCTACCTTCTCCCTGTAAAGAAACAAATGTTAATGAGCTGGAAGCCCTAAAATGTCTCTTCAGCTTCTGACCAGTAATTAGCATTGTTGAAAGCTATTTAATTTTAGAAAAAGAAAAAAAAAAGGAACACACATCCCATTTAATGGGTAATCCCTGTAAAGAAACAAATGTTAATGAGCTGGAAGCCCTAAAATGTCTCTTCAGCTTCTGACCAGTAATTAGCATTGTTGAAAGCTATTTAACTTTGGGGGGGGAAAAAAGGAACACACGTCCCATTTAATGGGTAAGAAGCAGGTTTTATGGTCATTCTTGGAATTCCGTACTGAATTCTTACGACTGCCGGATCTTCTGACCCTGCAGCACAGGCTTCTGCGGTTTAGCCCACAGTGCCACCACGTCTAATGGGTAAGAACCAGGTTTTATGGTCATTCTTGGAATTCTGGGCCGTACTGAATGGGAGCTTCTGAAAGCTGCAACGTTTTCAAGCTTGTGGTTGTGATGTTTATCTCATCCACATATTGCAATGTTTGCTGATTAGGGATAGGACTTTTGAAGGGACTTCAACTATCCAGAATTGTCCAAGAATTCCCCAGGCCGAATTCTGGGAGGTGCCACCTCAGAAACACAAAAGTCTACAGACCGGCTGTTATGTCCCGCCGTTGGTGCTGTCTTTGGTCCGTTTCTTCTTTCGAAATCAATAAAGCTACCCCAGTGCTTCCTAGGGGATGTCACTCCTCCTGGGAATTGTAGTCTTCCTACCCATTAGCCTCTAGAGAAGGGCTTCCCCAAAGAACAAATAGTCCCCGGAACCATGCAGCAGCTTCCCTTTTTTAACATTACCAAATGGAAATAAGGCCTCAAAAATCCATTCAGCCTGCAAAGTAAGCCTTAGTCCAGGTGAGTGAAATGTAGATGTTGAGATCTGTGGGATTGTGGGCTAAAATATTCAGAAATTCTGTCTGGGGAACCCTGGGAGTTACAGCAAAAGCAATGACAGTTCCATATTGCTGACCCTTTCCATTCAGCCTGCAAAGTAAGCCTTAGTCCACGTGAGTGAAATGTAGATGTTGGGATCTGTGGGTCTGTGGGCTAAAACACTGAGAAATTTTGTCTGGGGAATCCTGGGAGTTACAGCAAAAGCAAAAGCAGTGACAGTTCCATATTGCTGACCCTCAAGCTTTGACACCAGTGTCTTGTCACTTATTAACCACATGGTCCAGTCCATGCCCAGTTCCTCTGTCCCTGCCATTTGCTCTGGGAAGAACTCACTAATCCCTTCATAGAAGCGGAAATGCCCATTGTTTTCAAAAGGACAATCCCTGGTCTGCCTAATTGCCCTTATGCTCCACAAAATTGTGACGTCAACCTTCACCCTCTCATTTTGGGGTCTTACTCATCTTGGAAAGAGTGTGCACCTCTGTCCTTGCCATTTGCTCTGGGAAGAACTCACTAATCCCTTCATAGAAGCGGAAATGCCCATTGTTTTCAAAAGGATAATTCCTGGTCTGCTCCACAAAATTCTGATGTAAACCTTCACCCTCTCATTTTAAAGTCTTGGAAAGAGTGTGCGAAGTTCATCTCCTTTGAGCTGACCTTTTTAGCCCTCAGAGACTAACTCTTATTAGCTTAAGCCTCGTAGGCTTTGTTTTCACTTTCTTAATATGGGGGGGGGGCGTATCACATCCTTGCTCATGTTACATATACTGTGTTGTTTCCCATAGTTTCAGGATTAAACGGTTTTCAATGCACTGTAGGTCAATGGAGACTTGACTTACAGACTTTTTGACTTGAGAACCGCCTTCCAATACGAATTAAGTTCTCAAGTCAAGACCCCACTGTATGTTGTTTCCCATAGTTTCCATTTTCATATCATTTGTGAGGCACTTGTCTCGTTTGATAAACAGGTTCATCAAAGTGAGAAGCTCTGGTAAAGTGCTGACTGGAAAAAAAAGGAGTGTGTTATTACGAGCACTCCTGAAATTTAAGTCATGGGCTCCACTGGCTTCAAGAAACAGATGGCATTACATGAATAACACCTCGATTCCATAGACTTGTAAAGTTTTGTGGGTCATTCCCATTCCCTAGAGAATCCTGGGAGCTGTAGTTCTCTAAGAGGCACTTGTAGAAGAGAATTTGTATTTATCCTTGCCAAGGATTCTGCCCAGGAAAAAGCCATAAAATTTAAAAACAGGTTTTTTTAGAAAAACCAAAACCAAATTCAAATTGATATATAACCTATAAATTACATCAGGAATGCACACTTAGTTCATCTAAGAGCAAGGAGTGTAGTTTGGCAGTGTCCTTACACTGCACATTAAGGCAATAAAGAAGTGGGCAAAGATTTAAGCACAAAATGCAAGTTTTCCACTAAGGCAGCTGCTGACGTGAAAAGGGATGGTCTCCATGCCCTTGTGTAGGATTTTTGAAACATGCCAGCCAGTGACCATTTCTTTCAAAGGCCAAGAAAATGTTGTCAAGGACAAGAAAATTTGCAAGCAACCTGTTCCATCCTTAGGTCAGATGAGATCTCGACATGTACTACAGAGGTGGTCAAAGGTTCAGGTAAAAAAGGAGAGCGTGTACACCTTAATCCAGAGGTGGGCAATTAATTTCTACAGGGGGGCCACATGAAAAATCTGAACTGTGTTCGGGGGCTGAACTAACTTTACTTAAAAATAAAATGAAACAGTGATGTTATGATTGTTTTTATTTAAAACTTGTTAATCTTCACAAACACCAAAGACGTTTTTTGCTGTATGTTAAAGATAAGCAACTGATCAACTTTAGACAAAAAGCTATAAATGGTTTTGATGTTCAAAACTGTCCGCGGGCCGGACAGGAGCGGCTCGCGGGCCGTATGTGGCCCTCAGACTGCACTTTGCCCAGGTCTGCCTTACTCCTATCCACAATTTCTAGCAAAGTAGAGTCTGAAATCTCTTTTCATGAGATCATTGTGTGTGTTCTGCACTGTCAAGTTGGAACCGGCTTACAGTGACCCTAACAGGGCTTCTAAGATAAATGAGATGTTTATGGAATGTTTTTACCAGTTCAGTTCTCCCAGTCAATTTCGATGGCTGAGGAGGGAACTGGATCCTATTCTCCAGAGTCCTAGTGTGTCACTCTGTCCATTAGACCACGCTGGGTATCCATGAGGTCAGTAAAAAGGTTATCATCAAGGGTATCTATGTGCCCGTTGTGTGTCCCGCCATCCTCACAAGTTTTATGGGTGAGTGCATGAGTTAGGAACAATCAGCAGCTTGATTGTAGAGGTCCTTCCCAAAGGAAATCAGGCTGGCCCTATCCTGATGACTTTTGGTACACTATTGAGGGGAAGAGTTGTGCTTTTTACCACAAGTCGGCCATTTGCAGCATTCAGATTTTCAAGTAAATGAAGGGAACTGTTTTAGTTACTTTTAGGAAAAAGAAAATAGTTACTGCTTAACTACTGCAGGAATGATGAAAGCTAAATGGGGCTTTAAAAAAATGTAACTGTAGCTGATTGTGTCTGCTTTGTGCAGTAAGTTGGAACCAGCTTATAGTGACCCTAATAGGGCATTCAAGGTAAGTGAGATGTTTAAGGAGTGGTTTTACCAATCCCACACTCCCAGAGAGTTACCACAGCTGAGTGAGGATTACAACTGTGTTCTCCAGCGTCCTAGTCCATCACTCTATCCATACAACACACTGTAACTAAATACTTAAAGTCCATCACTCTGTCCATACACCACACTGTAACTAAATACTTTTTTTAAAAAAAATCACTTTCTAAGCTCTGCCCTCACCTCATAATCAGTAAACTTAGCACCAATACTGACATTCTTCAATTTAATGGTCAATTCAGCATCTTTTTTAAAAAATGACATACCTTTGGGAACATCCATGGGATTGAGACTGCCAACGAGATCTCTCACATAAAGTCCATCCCCTTCATCCTTGCTCAGCCAATTGTTGCAGGCGAAGTAAAAACGGAGGTGTGGCCTGTTCATGTCTGTCACTATCACACGGTCTAGGTACCAGCTAGCGTTCATTCCCGTATTGTCATGCTCAATCCTACGATGTAGACAGAGTGGAACATGAGTCAGAATTACATCCAGCTCTAGGTCTCATGAAGAAGATCTGATTGTCATACATTTGAGAAACAATCTAATCTCACATTGTTGAGTTCCTCTTTTATGATCTCTCTCTCTCTCTCTGTGTGTGTCTCTCTTTCTGTCTCTCTCTCTCTCACACACACACACACACACAGAGAGAGAGAGAGAGAGAGAGAGATGTATAATATCAAGTGGGCCATGACTAAATACAGGATTTCAGGAGATGGTTGGACACTGTCATCGAAGTGATCAGAATGAATTTGACCCAACTCCAGGAGGCAGTGAAAGACAGGAGGGCCTGGCATGCTCTGCTCCATGGGGTCACGAAGAGTCGGACACGACTAAACGACTAAAAAACAACAAAACAAAAAGCAGAATTGAGGACGGAGGATCAGCCTCCTAAGTTTCTGGCTTATGTAAACATCATGAAAATGTCAGAACAGCCCTTCTAGGTCACACCTAGGGTGTGGGATCCAACCATATACTACAACTCCCATCACCACTGCCTAATGGCCATGCCTCATGGAGTTGAAATTAGCAGGCCTCTAGGAGAAGTCAGAAGTAGCAGTCCCCCCACTCCAACTCATCTGTAATTCAAATGTTAATAGCCAAGGGTAAACCATAAATCTGTCTAATCTCTGTTTAAAGTCATCTAAATCAGAAAGGTCTATCCAGAGGTCTAAGCAGGTCATCCCTTCATTCTATGTACAAAAGCAGACAAGACCAAAAGCTGAAATGTCCTTTGAAACTAGCAATGGAACAGCACACCTGAAGCCAGTTTGGGGATGCTGAGCAGTCCACATAGCATCTGAACATCCAGTTTTGTCATTCAAGACAAGGGGGTGGCCAGGGAGCTAGAAAGGAACATCTGTACGGAGCAGCTGGTGCTCTCCTCCAGGAACGTGCTATTTTTCAGGCCCTAAACATTTACCAAAGTTGGCTGGGTAGCTAAGAGAATGAGGCAAGTTCGGGAATTTGATTTCCCACTATGCCTCTCTGGAGAAGAGAGAGCCTGTTGTAGCCTCGGCCCCAAGGTGCCCCCAGAAGAAAGGAATGGTAAACTACTTCTGAGTACCCTCTATCTAGAAAACCCTGGAAAGGGTCACCATAAGTAACTATTGACTTGACAGTACATCATCATCATCATCATCATCATCATCATCATCATCATCATCATCATTATTAGTATTAGTATTAGTATTCAGAAGATGTAAATTATTTCTGAGTCCTCTCTGCCTGGAAAACCATGGAAAGGGTCTCCATGAGTCAGAATTGACTTGAAGGCATATGATGATGATGATGATGATGATGATGATTAACATTATTATTAACATTATTATTAACATTATTAACATTATTAACATTATTAACATTATTATTATACATTAAGCACTGAGCCTCATTCTGCCTCAAGATGGCTGGAAATATTATGATTTCCTGGATCATCGCAGGGTACCACCATATCATCCATAAGATAATAGCCAGTATAGTACTGGATACCAATCTGGAGCAGGTCTGCACATGCTTATCCTTAGAACAGGAAAATGTTGCCTTACATTGCACTGTAGATATTTAAGAGCTGAAATCCTGCAGTCAACTTGCACAAATGTTTTTTTTTTTTAATTTGGAGAACTGGTTACCAGATGAAAAAAATATTTTCCCAATTTTGTTCAAGGGATTGAAAGGCACTTCCACTCCACCCCACCCATGATGGTTCAAAGTCTGGACAATATTGGCAATCAATAAGAATTTCTGTATCACCAGCACCTATTCATCATACCTTATTTTCTTTATTGTTCCAACATTGTTCGTTCTCACCCGGAACACATCCGTTTTACTCCTTTCAAACGCGGAGCTGCTCCTGAAATACAAGGGTAACCATAATGTAATTAACATAACACCTAATTATAGTGATGCTGTTGCTAATTGCAAGAGCAATAACCAGTATCGCATCTAGTCTTACAAAACAAGCACGGAGCTGAAATCAACGTGAGATCCTTCCGAATAGGTGTTTCTTGTGACAATGGCCATGCAATGGTGTTGAAAACCTGTCATCTCTCAACCTGGGAGTGACCCAACGGTCGTCCACATGCCTTTGCATTAAGCAGAGTGTGATGGTGGAAATTGTCATGCGAAGTTTTGCAAAAGAAAGAGAAAGTCCCATAATGATGAGAACATTTACCAACTTTGAAGAAATGTGCAACATAAGTTGCAGCACAGAGCAAAACAGGGATTTAAAAAAACAAAATAGTCATGCATTTTTGCAAAGCTTTTCACCTCTAAATGCTCTGAAAACAGCTTGCCAGGAAATGCATGAGATTCATCCTTTTGCCATATTCCATGAAGAAAAAGCATAACTGATGCAGGAGCTGTTCTGCTGCGGATGCCCCTGTCGCTATAGCATTTCCAAGAAAGATCAAGTAAGTCCCTGGTTCTTGCAGGCAACCCTAGCACATGCTAAGAAAGGAGAATAATTTCCTGCCAGTTTTGGCCTGATCATGTTTGAGCTTTTTTAAAGAGCGATTTAAGCTTAGGAGACTGTCAGAGCATGTGTCTCATTTTGGAGCTGAATCATACTTCCCAGAAGGCTTTCACAAGCTTGCTTCATCTGTTAAATGTTAAGCCTTAATATGCACAGGGAGGTTAGGAAAGGATAAGCTGAAGGCAGCAGAAAAAGAGGAAGACTACGTATGTAATGGACTGACTCCATAAAGCCACAGTCTTGAGTTTTCAGGAGCTGAGCAGAACTTCTAAGGACAAGATATTCTGAAGGTCACACATTCATAGTGTCACTGGGGACTTGGCAGTGCAGAACAACAAGGGTTATGAAAACAAGTAGTTAAATGGAGGTATGGTCCAGAAACAATGTGCCTCTGAATATCTGGGGATTCTGTGGATGAACAGCAGCTGGCATATAAACTGGTGCTTACCACCTTCCCATAAACATCTGGCTAACTGTTGTTGTTAAGTGCTATTAAGTTGCTTCTGACATATGGCAATGAATGAGTGACCTCAAAAAGATCTTAGCATTAACTGCTCTTCTCAGGTCTTGGAAACTCATGTACCTGGTTCCTTCATTGAGTTAATCCATCTTTGGTCTTCCTCTTTTCCTGCTGCCTTCAACTTTTCCTAGCCTTATTGTCTTCCAGGGACTCTTCTCTTCTTTCAATGTTCCCAGAGTATGAGAAAAACTTAATATTGTGGGAAGCTGGAGGGTTTTGTCCCTTTCCAAAGGACTTTGATTGTGCTCTTTCCCATTAAAAGTACTTTAGATAATGGGGTTGTGGTATAGTGATTAGGTTGTGGCACTAAGTCCTTGGGAATCCCAATCAATCACTGACCGATTTTGGGCTGGTCATTTCTCAAAGGGACCTCTATATTCCCCCTGTTATAATTGCATATATCTGCCTGCAGTGTTTTGTTCCCACTTCTCCCATCCAGCTTATTTGCCTGGAATACACCTGCCAGTAAGTGGGATTCTCAGAGTAAACTTATTCGGAGAATCTATCTGTAACCACACAGCGTGGAGAAGCATTTTTAAAAAGACCTCAAGCAGGATCCTAACGCTCATTCTCCATCAAAGCCTGTTAAACAGCCATGGACGGATGACATGAAAGCACAGAAGGATTCTGTGAGTGATCACTCTTACGTTTAACATGCTCAAATAGATATGAGGTCCTAGACGTACAGAAAAACAAACCACCACAGATGGATATTTCTCTCTTAATAAGGAATTGCAGTCAGGGACTGAGTCCTTAAGTCCCAAATTGACACGGGGTATTTTAGACAGAAAGCTCCCTCAGAATGCAGAAGCTAATCAGGATTGCTAAAGCAAAGGCCCGATGGGCTTAATATCAGAGTATTCCTTCCTTCCTGCTGATACTCTTAAAAACATCTTCCAGCAACTCACTCTAAGGATTAAACGTCATCATACTTTGAATATGCATTGTTGCACTCTAGTACTGTATAGGTTTGTATGGCCCTGATCTGGATTTGGACCAGCATGTGCACACGGGAGAGGGGGGATTAAATTTTTTCCCCCATTTGTTGTTTTATTTAAAATCCCACCCGCCATTGCCTTTGCCCGGGGGCCTTTTAAAAAAGGGAGGGGACTCCATTGGAAGGCCCTTACCCATGTTCTATGGATCCCATCTGGATCATGCTTACTCTAGAGGAGGGGGAAATTTATCTTAAACTGCACAGCTTGTATTTAAGGTATCGTGGCGTTTGACCCCACCCCCTGGCCTGGTCTACCTCATAGGGTCCATCTGAGAATAAAGCGCTGCCTGGGGACCGTACTGCAATGGATGCAGGAAAATGGGCTGAGGCTGAACCTGGACAAGACGGAAGTTCTGAGGGTGGGAGCCCCCATGGCTGGCTGCCTGGGTGACTCTCATTTGGGGGGGGTGAACCTGGCTGCGAAGAGTGGGGTCCGCAGCTTGGGCATATATTTGGACCTGACGCTCACCATGGAAACACAGGTGGCGTCGGTAGTCCATTCTGCCTTTTTCCACCTTTGGCGGATAGCCCGGCTGCGGCCCTACCTTGACACGGGGGCGCTCACCACCTTGGTGCATGCGCTCGTAATCTCAAGATTAGATCACTGTAACGCGCTCTACGTGGGGCTGCCTTTGAGGCTGATGCGGAAACTTCAGGTGGTGCAGAATGCGGCGGCCAGACTCCTTAGTGGAATGAGGAAATGTCAGCACATCTCTCCAATACTGGCCGCATTGCATTGGCTGCCCATCTGTTTCCATGTCAACTTCAAAGTTTTAATGCTGACTTATAAGGCCCACAATACTTGGCGGAACGCCTGCTCCCCTCAAGATCTACCCGGATCACCCACGTGAGTCAGGAGGTGAGGTTGAGGAGCCTGACGCTGAGGGAGGCTTGAAGAGAAAAGACACAAAACAGGGCCTTCTTGGCGGTGGCTCCTCGCCTCTGGAATAACCTCCCACCGGAGATTCGCGGGGCCCCTATGCTGGGCACACATGGATGTACATCCATGCTTTCCCTCCTGTCAACACTTGATTCTTTCTTTTCTTGCTATTTATTATTTACCATATTCTATCATGTATCTTACTGTCTCTATTGTAATGGTCCTGTGCTATTTTAATTTATTTATGTTATGTTGTAAGTCGCCCAGAGTGGTAGAATATACCAGATGGGCGGGATATAAATCAAATAAATAAATAAATAAATTATCCGTGGGGGCCTCATTTTGGGTTGGAAAATCCAAAGGTGAGGATAGTGATAAAGGTAAGTTGTTTATTTTTTGTTTCCACATTGTCACTCCCCACACTGGATGGCACAGCACAAAGAGCAGGCCATTTTTAATTGTATCTCTGGTGACCACATGGAAAATGAATTTTTCCCCCACTTTAATTCACAAGGACTAAGTGGCATCTTCTTTCCTCCATTGCCATTTCACTTCATTCCTCAGAAAAGGGGAATTTAGATGGCTTCAAGTCTGGACAACATTAGCAATTAGGAGTGACCTTCAACGCACAATCCTACAAGCATCGACTCTGAAGTTAGGCCCATGGAATTAAATGGGGTTTACTCCCAGGTGAGTGGAGATAGGATTGCAGCCTAAATCAGAGACCCTAATTTGGGGGCAGGGGGCGATTCAGATCCTGTCCTTCTCTTCCAAAATAACATCGGACAACGAATTCATTTGAACATTTCTAATGCAATCCCAGTCCACAGCTCAAAATTTATTGTGTCCGATATGGCAAACAGGTCTGAAATGTCATGGATTTCCTTTACCATTCCCAGATTATTTGTCTTTACAAGGTTTTCATGTCTGAATTCCTTCACTGGGGAAAGAAGCCCTTTTGAGGGGGAAAAATTAGGATAGCTGTAGATACCTCCTGTAGAAATGGAGAAAACGTGAAGTTACAAGAGAAATCAGCATTTTCTAAGACACATTTACATCTAAAGGAAAACAAGCAACAAGTACAGCTTCACAAACTGTTGGCTCCAACCTTGTACTTATTCATGTTTGGGGTAAATGCATCTAAATTCAATGGGACTTTCTTCTAAATAGACATAATAACCTTTTGCTGTTAATCATTGGGTCAAATGCAATAATAGTCCCATCTAAAGTAGATGTACTGAAAATAACTGTGTTTGTTAGTCATATGTTGCATTCATATGACTGGTTTCAATGGATCTACTCTATATGTGACTATCATTGGCTTTAGTTCTTTCTTTGTCAAGCCTTTTCTACCATCTGTGGGAACTCAACTATCTTTTACTTTTTCAAATGCACACCTAAAGAGAAAAACAGCCGATGAATCTCTTCTCATTCAGAACCATGCTAGTTCATCCATCCCAATCAACAGTGCTCAAAATGTGGCCAGAGATTGACCCCATTGGGTAAACCCATTCTTAAATTAGCATCATGGTGAAGTCATCTAATAATTTCATCTTTCTTAAAGCTCACAATCATCATCCAACAAGATTTGTACATTTAAGAGCAAAACTTGCTCCTCATAGAATTCTGAACTCACCTTTCCTTATTTGACAACTTTTCCTGTAACTGTAGCATCCCTCACAACACAGCATGTAATCTAAGAGCTCCGTCTACTGGCACTTAAGAGAAAAACCATACGTGTGCTTCACACTACTTCACAATGATTCCATTCAGTGGTTCCCAACCTTGGGTACCAAGATGTTCTTGGACTACAACTCCTAGAAATCCTGGCCAGCACAGCTAGTGGTGAAGGCTTCTGGGAGTTTTACTCCAAGAACATCTGGGGACCCAAGGCTGGGAACCACTGCAATAACATACTTTAGAAGAGGGCTGAAGAGCACTAAATTATAACATAATTCATTTTACAAGGGTTGGGCCCTAAAAGAAGGCTCTTTTTTCCAACTAAATAAAAATTTGGACACAAATTCGTTGACATTGCAAAGCAGAGTGATAATGGGAGGATTAAGGTGTCTATTCTCAGCCTGAATGCGTGCAAGTAACTTGATTTATCTCACAGGCTTTGCATGCATTTGCATATGTTAGTGAACTAAATTACTTTACAGTCAAATAAATGGGTAACCGTTCATTGCGCAGTGCTGACAAGCTTCTGGGAGTCCAACCATACTCACTTGCTGGTCAGATGGACCTTGGGTGTGATGCCAAATTCACCAAAGAGAGTAACAAAGACATTCGCATCCGTCCCCGCGCCTCGGACATCTCCCGTCACTGTCACAACTTCATAGACTGTGGGCACAAAAAGAGGGATAGTCATAAAGGAAGACAGAATTGTGGCTCTTAATAACTCAGTGAGTTACCAGTGTGGCTGCAGAGCCAGGCCTTGCGAGTTTGATTCCCCCACTATATTCTCCAAGGAGAATGGCCAGCCTGTGTAGCCTTGGGCAAACTGCACAGTCCCAGAAAGGAATGGTATACCTAGAAAAAAAAACTGGGAATGGTTGCTATAATTCAGAACTGATTTGACAGGATGTAAAACTTAGTAGTTGTAGCAGCAGCAATAGCAATCGTCGCCTAAGGGAGATCTAGTGTGACAATATCAAAATAGATCCAAACATGGATGTTAAATTCAAGATCATAGAATCATAGAAAAGTGAAGTTGGAAGGGGTCTACAAGGCCATCAAGTCCAACCCCCTGCTCAATGCAGGAATACAATCAAAGCATATCTGCCAGGTGATTATCTAAGTTTTTCACGAATGTCTCCAGTGTTGGAGCACTCACCAACTCCCGAGGTAACTGGTTCCACTGTCGTAGTGATCTAACAGTTAGGAAGTTTTTCCTGATATTCAACCGAAATCTGGCTTCCTTTATCTTGAGCCCATTGTTGCATGTCCTGCACTCTGGGATGATTGAGAACAGATCTT